CTTGAAGACTCACGGTTGTACTCTTTTTCCCTTAACTAAGTTTTTCCCACACGGTTTTCTTAAGTTAAGATTTTTAATGAGGCGACCAATACAATATATGAGTTTACAAATATCATGTACTCTTTTCTTCAACTAGGTTTTTCCCACGTGGTTTTCCTAGTGAAGTTTTTAACGAGGCATGAATGTATTCAAATATACCATATCCATATACTTTGTACTCTTTTCTTGTTTAGGTTTTCCCCACAGGGTTTTCCTAGCAAGTTTTTAACGAGGCAAGACTGTGGACAAATAATGTCCAAGGGGGAGTGTTATAACTATATATACTTAGTGGACATTATTATGTAACGTACGTAACAGTCCGGTAATTAAGCATGCCATTATTGTATCCATTATATTTGTATTGTATATATCCTTACATATGTTGTATTGTTTGGATGCTAATGAAATGGAGATTACCCCTATACTATTGTCTATCATTCTCCCATCTCTCTTTACATCTTACTTGCAATGTTAATCAGTTCATCGGTTAGGTGCTAATGGCCAATGGGCATCTCACTTTACAACATAATTGTAATTTTTTAAAGTTTAAGGGTCTAATTGCTTTCTCATATAAAGTTGAATGGCTTATTTGATCGTTTTCTTAAAAGCATAGGTGCATGCTTTTCCCTAATATTTTTAAGAAATATGATAATGTGTGTAACAAATACGGTTCATGGTGTGCCAAGTTGCTCCCTCATAAAGGTGGAGGCGATATTGGCTCTTTAATTTGTGTTTCAACAGGTTAAGAAAGTAGCTATGAACAAATACTGCATTGTAGTAGAGTCTGACTCTTTGTGTTTCAATAGGTAGAGAAAGTAGTTATGAACAGATATTGCATTGTAACAGAGTCCGTAGTATTCACTTGGTCCTTGAATTAGTGACTTTTAAGGTTTGAGCTTAGACTTGTGAGTACAAGTTTAAGAAATTATTAAATTTTTATCACGATTGGACTAAAGAGAATAAGAGACCCCTATAATAATTATCAAATAAGAAAATCATGTTGGGAGCTGGACTTGGCCACTTAGAATTTTTATTGGGGATTAGCCCTAGTCAGCACAACGTCTTGTATATGTTATGGCAAACAATCTCCCTTATAATCTTCCCCAATCACTTGTTTTTTTTTTTTTTTTTTTTGCCAAAGTCAATCACATTGTTCGCACATCTCTGAAGAGGTGTAAGATATGTAAGATAGTCCATCTTGAATGTGATTCACTTCCTTTGAGGCATCTCCAATGCTTGATTTTCAGGGGAGGAAGGGAGGGGTATGTAGAGAAAGCATTCAATTTTCGGAGAGACTGTCACACTCTCCCCACCATCTATTATATATATATATATATATATATATATATATATATATATATATATATATAATTGTTTAAAATTTAAGTCGTTAAATGGCTTGATTTTTTTTAATTTGTTATTCAAATTTTTAAATTTTAATTTTTAAATTTATTTTTAAAATTTTAATTATATTAATTGTTTGGATATTTAGTATTTAAAATTTTGTATTCGATATTCTGAATGTTAATTTGTTTTATAGATGATTTCAAAAATTGAATTTTAATTTATGAAATTATATTTTGAATAGCTTATGAAATTATATTTTATGATTAAAAAATTATTTTATTTTATTTTTAAATTTTATATCTATTATGCTATGTAAATATATAATATAATTGTCAAAGATAAACATAACGTTATAGTAATTTACAATTTTTTTAACAATGTGATTCAATTGGTCGTGGTAAGCCCGAACCACATGAGGGGCGCAATCCATGTATGCAGATACGCCCACCTAAGTTTGCAAATACAATAATCATAAGTACTCCAATGATAATATAAATTCAAATTTTAAAAATTATTTCTTACAACACTCGCTGCAAATAGTAAATCACCAAACAATTGTTGAGGTAAAACGCGGTGTCGTCTAACTATAGACAACCTCTCCCAAGCCCATATTTGCAGCAGTAGTAGACATCCGCACACGACAGAAGTATTGTGATCAACCCCAATGCATAACACATTATATAGATAGGCTAAAACAATTAGGGATGGCAATGGATCGGGAGGGCTACATCCATCACCCGACCCACCTTATATTTTCTCCTCCCTCCCCCACCTCCAACCCGCATCGGGTGGACTTTTTCAGAACCCACCCCACCCCCACCGGGTGCGGGTGCCCACTACGGGTACCCACCACTTATCATCTTATTATGTTTTTCAAAAAATAATATTTAAATTATTTACACATAATAAAAAATAAAATTCATTAGTGATACTAAAACATAAATAATGGAAATATTTAAATATAATAACTAAATTGTTAATTTTTAAAAATAAACTTAGTAGTTTAGATATAAAATATAGTAAAAAGATACACGAAGTTATATAAATTTTTATAAATAACTACATACTAGTACTTATTTTACTATTATATATATATATATATATATATATATATATATATATATATATATATATATATATATATATATATATGTTAGAAAAATATGGAGTGTTTGATGATAGGGAAGTGAGGAAACGAGATCTTCAGGCGTGTAATCACTTTCCTATAAGCTTTAAATCTCCCTTATATAAAGCAACTATGAAGGTTTGAATGAGAATGTATTATTGACAGAGAATAATACAGCATAATATATAGAGCTATACACCAGGATTCTAAGGGAAGTTACAACAGATTGCATGCTCAGTCTAAGACTAACAAAATAGAGAAAGAGTAGGACAACATCAGATAAATAATACTAATTATAATTAGTCCTTAATACACCCCCGCAAGATGGTGGATCCATTGGAGACACCCAGCTTGGACCGGAAAGGAAGAAACAAGGCACGACCCAATGATTTGGTAAGAGCATCTGCAATTTGTGACTTTGAAGGAATATGACAAACATACAAAGAACCATCAGTCACCTTTCACGTACAAAAATAATAATCCAAAGCAAGATGTTTCATCTTAGAATGAAACACCGGGTTGCGGCAAACATAAGTGGCTCCTATATTATCACAGAACAGAGTAAGAGGCCGAGGCTGTGGAATGCCCAACTCAGTCAGTAAATTACAAACCCAATACAACTCTGCCGCACCATTAGCCAGCGCCCTGTATTCAGCCTCCGTAGAAGAACGGGAGACTGTTTTCTGACGAGTAGACTTCCACGAGATGATATTTGGACCGCAATATATAACATGCGTTGTAGTAGAACGACCCCCATCGGACACACCACCCCAATCAGAATCAAAAAAAGCGGTTAACTGAAGACCTGTAAAGCGACAGGTACCCTTCAAATATCGCAGCAAATGCTTCGCAGCACGCCAGTGAACCACACCAAGGGCATGCATAAATTGAGATAGACGGTTAACTGCATATGCAATGTCCGAACGCGTGATGGACAAGTACTGCAACAAGCCAACGAGCTTCCTAAACTGAGTGACATCCAAAACTTCAACAGAGCCAGCTGTGGGTAACCCAACATCCTTACTCATAGGTGTTGAAACCGGCTTAGCACCATCCATATTAAACCGTGAAAGAATATTTGAAAGATATTGGCTTTGAGAGAGAAACAATCCAGACTCCACATTTATTAATTCAACACCCAAAAAATGATGAAGTGCGCCCAAGTCCTTCAGTGAGAACCGAGAGGCTAAAGACGTAACAAATGAATCCAAAAATACATTATTATTTCCTGTGAGTATTATATCGTCAACATAGACGAGAAAGTAAACAACAACACCATTTGTATCATATATAAAGAGAGAAGCATCTGCCAATGACTTGCGAAAACCAATACTCAACAGATAATTAGAGAGCTCCAAATACCAAGCCCGGGGGGGCCTGTTTGATGCCATAAATAGCCTTTTTCAATTTGCAAATGTACCGAGGATGATTAGGATCAAGATAGCCCATGGGCTGTTCCATGTACACTTCTTCATGCAAAGTGCCATGAAGAAATGCATTATTGATATCAAGCTGCCGCAGCACCCAGTGGCGGCTCAAAGCAATAGAAAGAACAAGTCGGATCGTCACAGGTTTCATGACTGGGCTAAAAGTTTCAAAATAATCACGCCCGGGCTCCAGCAAGAACCCCTTAGCCACCAAACGAGCTTTATACCTATCAACCGCACCGTTTGGCTTCCGCTTAACCCGGAACACCCATTTGCAACCAATGGGAACATGGTTATCACGCGGTAAGAGCTCCCAAGTATTATTCCGAATTAGAGCCGTGTATTCATCATCCATAGCTTGCCGCCATAATGGGTCCTTAAGAGCTTGCGGGACCGTCGACGGCTCAACAGAAGAAGGTAGAGGATGAACAGTGGAGTGATTTATAAACTTGTCGTTATAATATTTTGGATTTGGCCGACGAGTCCGGACTGGACGAGAACAATCCTGCAATTCATGTGATGGCACAACAGATACTGGACCAGAACATTCATGGGAAGGATTAATAGGACTTGAACTGGAAGGAATAGTACAGGATTGTGAGCCTGAGGTTTCTGTATAGGGAGCACAGGGAGAACCGCGTGGTGATAACGGAGCTGTTGGTGGTGGTGAAGGCAGAAGACCCTGAGGTGGAGATGCATGTGGAGAATGAGCAGACAAGACCGGTGAAGATGCTGAAGAGCTTGTCACAGTGGGTGTTGGAACAACAGGATGTAACACCATTAGTGGACTCAAAATGACAGGAGCCTGCTCATTCCCTGACACTATATGACCTGAAGAACTAGTAGCAATAGGGTGGTAATATGGAAAAACATTATCAACAAATTTAACATGCCGGGAAAGATATACACGGTGTGTTACTGGATCAAGACACTTAAAAGCCGACTGAGTTGTAGAGTATCCAACAAAAATACAAGACACAGACCGAGGTTGCAACTTTGTTTTCATATATGGCCTGAGCCAGGGATAACACAGACAACCGAAAGGTTTTATTTTCTGGTAGTTAGGAGAAGACTGAAACAATACCTGGAATGGAGACTGATTGGCTAGGACAGGAGTAGGCAATCGGTTGATCAGATAGACTACACATTGGAAAGCATATGACCAGAATGTTAGAGGTAAATTTGAACGGTGAAGCAATGAGAGACCTGTTTCGACAATATGGCGATGACGCCTTTCAGCTGTACCATTGTGTTCCGGAGTGTGAGGGGGAGTTGTAAAGTGAGAAATACCATGCAGATTAAATAGTGGAATAAGTTTTATGAACTCTCCACCATTATCAGAAAATATGGAAACAATTTTATGACCAAAAAACTTTTCCACTAATCTTTTATATTGAGGAAAAATAACAGAGACATCTGATTTTTTTCTTAGAGGATACCACCATATGTATTTGGTGTAGAAATCTAATAACATAATATAGGTATCCATCAACAGATTTTTGAGTGGTTCCCCATACATCTGTATATATAAGCTGAAGAGGTTTTGTACTGGACATAGAATTATCAAAAAATGGAAGCTTGTGACTTTTATTAATGTTACATGAAATACAGGAAAAATTATTGAGAGCATTGGAATCAAACGGAATACTAAGACGATTGAGAATATGCCTTAGAGTTTTATTTGACGGATGCCCGAAGCGATGATGCCAATCTGGAAGAGATGTGGAAACTGTAACGTTTAATTGTGGATGTGTAGACACAGAAGCACAATAAACATTATGATTGTTTTCCCCCTTGAGTAACGGCGCCCCCGTCACAAGATCCTTCACAAGGAAACAAAAAGGAAAAAATTCAACCGAAACTTTGTTAGTTTTACAAAGCTGAGAAACAGAAACAAGATTTTTTCTTAATTTAGGAACACATAGTACTCCAGACAATGAAAGATCACGACCATTGGTAGGAAAAGTAGTATGACCAGTGTGAGAAATGTTAAGACTTTTACCATCACCCAACAAAATTTCATCCAGACCACCGTAATCCGAAAAATTCTGTAGGGAAGCTAGATTTGATGTAGCATGATGGGATGCGCCACTATCAAATAGCCACTGAGTAGAATCAATTGGTGGTGTAGTGGTAGTGGAATTAACAACAGGGGTCTGAGTAGAATTGAATGCTTGAATGTTATCCAGTCTAACATTGTTCTCTCGTAGAAAGCGTGCAAGTTTCCTACAAACACAAGTTTCATGCCCAGAATTGTGACAAAAACGACAGACCTTACCATTCCAATCTCCACTAGCAGGAAAGCGACTCTGACTGCCAGCAGGCCGCCAATTTGAGTTAGTCATATTATCTGTCTTTGGGCCATGAAAGGACCTCCCATTCTGGAAATTCTTCGGCCTATTTCGCTGCACGACATTCGCCGTGGCCAATAGAGTTTGCTGCACCTCTTCATTACTCTTCATACGACGCTCACAGTCTAGTAAAATCTCACGGAGCGCCAAAAAAGAGATAGGTGTTTCTCTTGCATGGATTGCTGATGTGACCGAATGAAAGTCATCTCCTATTTGAGACAAGGTATGTGCAACCAGATCCTCATCTGCGACCGGAGCTTGAACCAAGGCTAGATTGTCAGCAAGTGTCTGCATCTCTTGCAAATAGTCAGAGATAGACTTTGACCCACGAGGATTGTTTGCAAGTTTGGACTTCAAAGATATAACACGACCACGAGAAGCATTGGCAAAGCTTGCTGTTAATTTATCCCAAGCGTTTGCAGCAGTAGTGGCTGAGGCAAGAACTGGCTGAATGGTGTCCGAGCAACTCCCCAGGAGTGCGCTAAGAAGAATTTGGTCTTGGCGATACCAAATTTGATAGGCAGGATTTGGAGTTGTACATGCAGTATCCGAAAATGCCGCAGGAGCTGCGGTTGTTCCGTCAACGTAACCGGCCAGACCAAGTCCTATGAGCGTAGCGTAAACTTGCTTACGCCAGACTGGGAAGTTGGTTGAAGTAAGTTTAATGGGGAAATTTGTTGGTGCTGATAGAGTAATGATAGAAGTTTCATTAGTGATTGCCATGAGATCACGCAGGGAAGGAATGAAAAAAAAAATTACTCGTTTGAGTATATTAGGAGGCTCTTGATACCATATGAAGGTTTGAATGAGAATGTATTATTGAAAGAGAATAATACAGCATAATATATAGAGCCATACACCAGGATTCTAAGGAAAGTTACAACAGATTGCATGCTCAGTCTAAGACTAACAAAATAGAGAAAGAGTAGGACAACATCAGATATATAATACTAATTATAATTAGTCCTTAATAGCAACAAGGTTCAAGATTTAATCTTATGGGATACAAGAAGATGATGAAATTCTTAAGTTGCTTTGTTTAAGAATTTCCTGTAGAAATGCAGTACTGTGAACTATCTCAGTCTTATGCAAGTTTTTTGCATGTCTTTTCAGACATTTCTCCACATATTTATAGATGTAAATATAGCAGTTTGGAGAAGTTACATGGAAGTTACTGGAGTTCAAAAACCCAACTTCCAAAAGATATATCTTATCTGATATATCAGGCATGATAAATATATAATTGAATATTATATATATTCATATGATATGGACCTTCGTAGGTTCATGCACTGCATACACAATTACAAAGTAAAATATATATATTATATATATTTATTCAATGCACGTGAACATGCATAATAATAAATAAATAATATATATATTAATACTTTCGTGCTCAGCATGTTGTAGAAACAAACCAAACAAAAGCTTTTGAAATAAACTTTCGTTATTCACTTTTAAGCATGCATGCATTCATCTATCGTTAATGTCATTTTTAAGCATACATGCATGCATTCATCTTTCTTTAATGCGATTTGTAAGCATACATGCATGCATTCACCTTTCTTTTGTTAATGCCATTCGGCCGAAAGGAGAAACCACATTATGCACGAAAGTTAAGCAGCGCACGAAGGTTAAGCATGCACCGATTTATTAAGTAACACGAATCATATCCATTCGTTGAGCACGAATGATTTGTGTAACCCAACGAAACAAACGAAATGTATGACATCAATTCGTTAAACCCGAATCTTTCGATTCGTTAAATTAACGAATTTGATACAACCGAATTCATCGTTTAAATAACGATTTGTGCATAACGATTTGTACGCGACATTCATATTTCCCAACTAACTTTCTACCAAACTAAAATAATATTTATAACTCCACAACTTCAAATATTATTTAATCTTTTCATGGTAGTACATCTGAAACATTAATCTCCATTACTATATAAATTTCCAACATTCCTCCTCCATTTATATAGTAAAAATTAACATTGTACCAAGATAGATCCAAAACTTATGCGTAAATGAAAGTGTCTTACAGATTGAACTTTCACATAGTATTATATGCGTTACATTAATTCGGATTGCAGTGATGAACGAACCTTGAATCACGCAGTCTCTTTGAAGAAACGTAGATATAATACACACAAGCTTTACAGTTACTACAACTCAAAATAACTTGACACTATTAAAGGCCCTGTGTCCGTATCCATTTATAAGCATTTCCAAGCTAAACCCACACTTGTTGAAGCAGCCACACTTCATGCTCACATAGGCTAATCTTTTATTTCATGCCCTGCACCAAGCATTTTTTCAAAAGATCAGTTAAGAGTCAAACTCATCCCTACTACAATGCAGACCAAGTACTTACTTTAGGGATACTTTTTAATATAGTACTTGCCGCCAATAAATGAAGTAATCATCTACATTGAACTCAAGGCCTAACGTGATAACTTAGGCATGAGTTGAGCTTTCCTTCATCTCTTGACTAACAACGGGTTTCAAACATATCCTTCCGATGTCTTTAAAACCATGTCCCTTGCCAAGGCTTTTGTAAACGGATCCGCTAGATTGAACCGGGACCGTACAAAGTCTAGTGCTACAACACCATTACTTAAGAGCTCTTTCACATAGCTATGTCGCAAGCCTATGTGTCTTGACTTGCCATTATAAACACTGTTATATGCTTTGGCCAGTGTAGTAGCGCTATCACAATGTACTAAAATAGGTGACATCGGTTTTGGCCCCAAACTAGAATTTCAAGAAGTAAATTCCTTAGCCAATCAGCTTCTTTGCATGCTGCTGCCAATGCAATAAATTCAGATGCCATAGTTGAGTCTGAAATGCAACTTTGCTTTTTAGAAGCCCAGGAGATAGCACCTCATCCAAGCAGAAATACCCATCCACTAGTTGAGGAATAATCTTCCTGATTAGATATCCAACTGGCATCAGAATATCCTTCAAGGATGGAAATATCTTTTGAATATTTTAAACCATAATTAATGGTTTTATTCAGATATTTTAAAATTCTTTTTAATGCCATCCAATGTACTGCACTAGGATTACTAGTGTATCTACTCAGTTTCCCTACTGCAAAAGCAATATCAGGTCGAGTACTTGTCATTGCATACATAAGGCATCCTATCACTTTAGAATACTCCAATTGTAAGACCGGATCACCTTCATTTGGTATTAACTTCAATGAAGGATTCATTGGAGTAGAAACTGGGGAACCACTAAAGTGATTAAATCTCTTTAACACTTTCTCAATGTAATGAGATTGTGTTAAACTTACACCATCCTGAAGTTTAATTATTCTTATTCCAAGAATAACTTCTGCTTCTCCTAAATCTTTCATGGAGAAACTGGAACTAAGAAAATCCTTAGTTTCCTTAACTTTTTCCAAATCAGTACCAAATATCAACATGTCATCTACATATAAGCATATAATAACCCCTTGTCCTTGGTTATTAAATTTGCTGTAGATGCATTTATCTGACTGATTTATTCTGTACCCATTCGCTAGCACCACTTGATCAAACCGATCATGCCATTGCTTAGGGGCTTGTTTTAAGCCATAAAGTGACTTAATCAATTTGCAAACTTTATTTTCTTGGCCTGCAACCACGAAACCTTCTGGTTGCTTCATGTAAACCTCCTCCTCCAATTCACCATTTAAAAATGCAGTCTTAACATCCATTTGGTGAACCACTAGATTGTGTATAGCCGAAATGGCAATTAACAATCTAATAGTAGCAATTCTTGCTACTGGAGCATAAGTGTCAAAGAAGTCAACTCCTTCTTTCTGCTTAAAGCCCTGTGCGACAAGTCTGGCTTTAAATTTATCAATGGTACCATCAACTTTCATTTTCTTTTTGAAAATCCACTTGCAGCCTATTGGTTTACAACCATTCGGTGGATTAGTTAAAATCCACGTATTATTCCCCATTATAGAATCCATCTCATCATTTATTGCTTCTTTCCAGAAAGGAACATCTTGAGAATTCATGGCTTCCTCAAAGGTCTTGGGATCATCCTCTATATTAAAATAATATAGATTTTTAGTCTCTGTGGACTCCCTTGATCCTTCTGTCAAGTACATTTGGAAATCTGGTCCAAATGTTTTTTCCTTTCTTGTTCTTTTACTTTTTCTAAGCTCAGGTTCCTGTGAACTTGCATGATCATGAATTTGATCATCAACTTTGGTCCCACTAGAACTAGGAATTAAATCCTTAGTTCTATTTATTGATGAAAAACGATTTTCATCAAAAATAGCATCCCGGGACTCTTTACGGTATGAACCGAAATAAAGTCATTTGGTTCTATTACATAGAACCTGTATGTTTTGATGTGTTCTGCATATCCTATAAAAATACAGTCTATGCCTTTTTCTCCCAGAGCCTTCCGTTTAGGTTCTGGCAACCGTACTACGGCCCTGCAACCCCAAACTTTCAAATAATTTAAGTTTGGTTTTCTTTTGTGCCAAAGTTCATAGGGAGTTACCCTATTTCTTTTGTTAGGAACTCTGTTGAGAATATAACATGCAGTTAGCATGGCTTCTCCCCAGAAACCTTCACTCAGACCGGAAACTGATAACATGCAGTTTACCATTTCTTTGAGTACTCTATTTTTTCTTTCTGCTACACCATTTTGTTGTGGTGTATAGGGAGCTGTGGTCTCATGAATGATACCAACAGATTGAAAAAATAATGGGTCATAATATTCACCACCTCTGTCAGTACGTAATATTTTTACTAACTGACTAGTTTGCAATTCCACCTCCAATTTAAATATTTTAAATTTTTCTAAGGCTTCATCCTTAGAATGCAGGGGGTACACATAGCAGAGTCTTGAATAGTCATCAATGAATGTGACTATATATTTTTTATTTCCCAAAGATGGGGTGCTATGAAAATCACACAAGTCACTGTGAATTAATTCAATTAAAATTGAATTCCTTTTTATACTAGGAAAAGGATTCCTAGTTATTTTATTTAACATGCATGCACTGCATTGTTCCATATTCAGATCAAAGGATGGAATTAATCCATCTTTAGCCATCTCACATACACGTTTATAGTTTACATGACATAAACGAAAATGCCATAATGAAGATGTACAAACTGAATACACAGAACCAACAATATTATTAATATTCAATTTAAACATATTGTTTGATAGAAATCCTTGGCCTACAAAGATACCGGCCTTGGATAAAATAAATCTATCTGCTTCAAAAACAAGTTTAAAACCACACTTGTTTAATACAATGCCAGAAACTAAATTTTTTCTAATATCTGGGGCATGATACACATCTGTGAGTGTCAACTTCTTTCCTGAAGTAAGCAACAACTCAACTTGTCCAATGCCTTTGACTTTAACCATGGAATCATTTCCCATGTACAAGCTTGGACCATCATTCAGACTTTTATAAATCTTATAAAGATTTATATCCTTGCAGACATGTCTGGTTGCCCCAGTGTCAACCCACCATGAGTCATCAGTCTGCATGACACAAATTTCAGATATCATAGCAATGAAATTTTCAGTACTATCAGAAACAAGATTAATTATTTTACCTTGTTTCCATTGGCCACTTCCCTGGCCATGATCACCAGAATTTTTACCTTCCATTTGTGCCTTTCTTTTCTTCTAGATTTCACAGTCTTTTTTAAAGTGTGGACCGTTGCACACCCAGCATGATACAGATGCATTTCCTTTTCCTTTTCCTTTCTTCTTAAACTTTGAAGAATTTGTGGCATTTCCTGGCTTCCCTTTTCCTTTACGATTCCCACTTGATTTGCCTTCATCAACATAGTTGATGACAGAACCCGAAGCCCCGGTGACTTTTGCACTACCTGCATTCTTACTTTCCTGCAGTCTGATTCCCTCCTCAACCCGAAGGTCAACCCCCAACTGTTCCATGGTAAGAGCTTCCTTTTTTATGCTTTAAGGTACGTTGTACCTTTTTCCAGGAAGGGGGCAACTTATCAATGATACTGGCTATAGCAATGGAATCATCCATATGCATATTATGTTGCCTCATTTGCCCAAGTATCCTGACAATCTCATGGAATTGTTCCATGACCGGACGATTGTCCACCATTTTATAATCATTGAATTCCCTTACCAGGAATTTCTTACTGGAGGCATCCTCAGATATGTACTTTGCTTCAAGTACATCCCAGAGGTCCTTTGAGGATTCCTCATACTGATAAATATCAAAGAGGGTGTCAGACATACCGTTCAGAATATGGCCGCGGCAGGCAAGGAGGAACTTCATCTTCTTCTGCCACCTACGGAAGCCCACGCCTTCAAACTGCTCCAACTTAGGGAAGTTGGTTGCAAAGTCCAGAAGTCCAGAACTCATCCTTCCTCAGAAACAGATATTTAAAGCTTATAGATTGTTAGAAAAATATGGAGTGTTTGATGATAGGGAAGTGAGGAAACGAGATCTTCAGGCGTGTAATCACTTTCCTATAAGCTTTAAATCTCCTTTATATAAAGCAACAAGGTTCAAGATTTAATCTTATGTGATACAAGAAGATGATGAAATTCTTAAGTTGCTTTGTTTAAGAATTTCCTGTAGAAATGCAGTACTGTGAACTATCTCAGTCTTATGCAAGTTTTTTGCATATGTCTTTTCAGACATTTCTCCACATATTTATAGATGTAAATATAGCAGTTTGGAGAAGTTACATGGAAGTTACTGGAGTTCAAAAACTCAACTTTCATAACATATATCTTATCTGATATATCAGGCATGAGAAATATATAATTGAATATTATATATATTCATATGATAAGGACCTTCGTAGGTTCATGCACTGCATACACAATTACAAAGTAAAATATATATATTATATATATTTATTCAATGCACGTGAACATGCATAATAATAAATAAATAATATATATATTAATACTTTCGTGCTCAGCATGTTGTAGAAACAAACCAAACAAAAGCTTTTGAAATAAACTTTCGTTATTCACTTTTAAAGCATGCATGCATTCATCTTTCGTTAATGTCATTTTTAAGCATACATGCATGCATTCACCTTTCTTTCGTTAATGCCATTCGGCCGAAAGGAGAAACCACATTATGCACGAAAGTTAAGCAGCGCACGAAGGTTAAGCATGCACCGATTTATTAAGTAACACGAATCATATCCATTCGTTGAGCACGAATGATTTGTGTAACCCAACGAAACAAACGAAATGTATGCCATCAATTCGTTAAACCCGAATCTTTCGATTCGTTAAATTAACGAATTTGATACAACCGAATTCATCGGTTAAATAACGATTTGTGCATAACGATTTGTACGCAACATTCATATTTCCCAACTTACTTTCTACCAAACTAAAATAATATTTATAACTCCACAACTTCAAATATTATTTAATCTTTTCATGGTAGTACATCTGAAACATTAATCTCCATTACTATATAAATTTCCAACAATATATATATATATATATATATATATATATATATATATATATATATACATGGTGGGTCGGGTGGGGTTCTAGGCGGGTCTTGTACAAAGAACCCGAATCCAACCCGACCCACCGCGGGTTTGCTTTTTTAAGACCCACCCCCGACCCACCACCCACCATCACCCAAAAAAACTCGATCCATGCGGGGTGGATTCGGGTGGATATCCACGGGTCGGATTGAAATTGCCATCCCTAAAAACAATTAATCCCCAATTGTATTGACCACATACTACGAAAGCAGCAATCAAAGGTAAACGAAATAACTTCATATCTTTCTTAGGTGTTTTGGAGATAAAATCATCCTAACAAATAAAATTTAAGTATTCGTGTAGCCACTTGCACCTATACATCTATGTTGTTTGAGGTTATTTTTGGCACCATGGGATGACTGTCGAATATATCTTGCTAGTTGTAAGGAAATCATTGAGGGGGCTTAAATCCCAAGTTCCTAGCAAATCCCTACACATGGCCTTCCACTCGAGGATAGGGCGCTTATCTTGCCTCATAACATCTATGATGTCCACCTTAAGCCCAAATAACACATCAAGATCTTGTAGTGTTATGCCGACCTTACGGAAGGGCATGTGAAACCGTGGACCTTCGGATGCCAACGCTCAATCATCGCGTCAATCAGTGCATGGTCTAGTTTGATATGAGTGAGGTATGCAACACCGTAAAAGCCTGTCACATATAGATACTCTCATACTCTAGCATTCTTGGATTAATGACTTCTCGTGAAATTGTTTGGGTTTCGTACAACCCCACTTTAATACAAGCATCAAGATCTGGATACATCCATATAAATCTAGATCGATGCCTATGTTGAAATGTCAACATTGACGGGTTGATCGGTTCAAGATGCAATTGCCGTTGATTGTCTATCATATAACTGTAAAATAAAATAAAAAATTATGAGATTTAAACATTATTTATGAACAATTCACTAATACTTGTATATTTATTTTTCACTACTACTTATAAACATAGATTGCTTGTCTCCATAGATCCGAAGCAAAACACATATTCACCTTGTAAAAATAAAATAGGAATAAGGTTTAAATTGCCCACTGAACGTAACCTGAAAATGCAAATTAAGTCACTGAACGAAAAAAAAAGTACAATTAAGCCACTAAACACTCCAAAAACGTGCAATTAGGCCACTGAACACTCCAAATGTATGCAATTGGGAAAATTGTAAAAAATACCCCTCTATAATATGCCAATTATCAATGTCACACCTGAATTATGATTTATGAGTGGTGTAAATGTTGCCCCTTAATTATCGAAACGTATACATATAGTCCCTCCTGTAACGAACATGTGGTTCCCCGTTAGTGTACACCGTTAAGTCGGGGTAAATATGTAATTTAGTTGTTTTTTCCTTTTTAGTTTTATATTTTCCCTTTTTTCTTTCTCGGCATCAACAAACAACAGTCCGATGGCGAGCAGCGATGTAAGTGGACTCGATTGGTGGCATCCAGTAGTGGCGGCGACGGACGAGCTCCGACGAAACCCCCCCTCAATTTGAAGTACTAGCGATGGACAGCGGCAGAGTCCAGTGGCGTTTTCTGTTTCTATCGTGAACGACAGCTACAGTGACACCAAGCTCAGACCTTGGTTCGTCTTCTTCCGGTGTGAACAAGACGAGGCAACGCGACAGAGCCTTCCTCCCTCTCGTTCGACGTGGGCAGTATTCCCCGGTTAACAGCTCCCTCTTCCCCGGCGACGTCCCCTATTTCCGACAAAGCAGCGATAACAACCAACCATGGTGGAACTCCGGCGACTTTGTACTATCCCAGCGAGGCAACGTGGAGCTAGGACGACAACAGTTTTTGTGTGCTTTCGGCGGAGTAGCGTCGAGCTGTGACTGTGGCGGCTATGGGCAGTGTGGGTAGCTACAACGGCGGTTGTGGACTACTCGCTGCTGGATTGTTGTTTGGTGAGGCCGAGAAAGAAAAAGGAAAAAAACAAAGCGGAAATATAAAAAGAAAAAGGAAAAAACAATTAAATTACATATTTACCCTGACTTAATGGTGTACACTAACGGAGAACCACATGTCCGTTGCGGGAGGGGATATATGTGCACCGTTTTGATAATTGAGGGACAACATTTACACCACTCATAATTCAGGGGTGACATTGATAATTGGCATATTATAGAGGGGCATTTTTTACAATTTCCCCTATGCAATTTCACCGGATAACAGGTTACCATCAATTTTAGCAGGTTACCTGCTTACGTAGCAGCTGAGTTGACATTTAAATAATTTTTAATAATAAATTTAAAAAACTTGAAAAAAATAAATAAAAAATAAAAAATAAAATAAAACGACAGCGGCCACCTCGTCATTTTTTTAAAAAAATTTATTATTAAAAATTATTAAAAATATCAACTCAACCGCCCGTAAGCAAGTAACCTGCTAAAATTGATGAGAACCTGTTGTCAGGTGAAATTGTATATATTTAGAGTGTTCAGTCCCGTAATTGCACTTTTTTTTCGTTCAGTGGCCTAATTGCATTTTTAGGTTAGGTTTCAATAAAATAAAGCCTTCAACAAAATAAATTAAAATAAAATAAATATAAAACAAATTAACATGGACAAGCATGATATGATTGTGAAAGAAAAAACATAGAAATGCCCTCCGAAAGGGTGTGTTCTATGTTTTTTCTTTAATTCACTTGAGGAAAAAAGAAAAAAAAAAAAACACGCCCTTACATTTTTAATATTATTTCGAACTATTATTTCATATCTAGCTACCTAACAAAAACACAAATTGGTTGTCTTCACAGATCCAAAACAAAACACATATTCATCACTTTCTCATCTCTCAACTATAGAGTCAACGACCATGGCCGACGCTCTCATCTCCAGTGTTGTAGAACAGCTGATCGAAATCCTGAAGCACCAAGCCCAGGAGCTAAAAAGAACTTTGGGTGTGGAGAAGGAGATCGCAAACCTCTCATCAAAGCTCGAGAAAATCAGGGAAGTACTGGATGATGCAGAGAAGAGAAGCATTAAGGAAAAGGGCATCGAGCTCTGGATCGAAAATATCAAAGACTTCTCCTACCATGTGGACGATGTTCTGGACGAGTGGAGAACCAGAACTCTGAGACAACAGATCGAGAGTTCAGCTCCAGTAAGGGGTAGAAAGGTAAGTCTCAGCTCTTTCCTGCCTTCGCGTTTCCATTACAAAAGGTTTGCTATGCATCGAGACATCGCCAAGAAAATAAAGGAACTTGATTCAACACTTGATCGGATTACGAAAGAGAAAGATCAGTTCAAATTTGATTATGCATCTATAACACACACTTCTGCAGCATCACACTCTGATCAAGAATTGATGCGAGTCACCACTGCGTTTGATGTGGATTCGTCTGAGATTCAAGGTAGGAAATCTGATGCCAGTGCTTTAATAAGCAAGTTAGTGGAGAATTCTGTAGAAGACGAAGCAAGAAATGGAAATGGCCCCCCTGTGATTTCCATAGTGGGCACCGGAGGGATAGGGAAAACTACCCTTGCTCAACTAGTCTTTGGCGATGAACAGATCAAGACTCATTTTGATGAAAGGGTGTGGATATGTGTTTCCGACCCCTTTGACCAGATCAAGATTGCAAAAGCCATTGTTGAGTCAACCACTAAGAGCTCCACGGATCTGTCTCAATTGCATGTATTACTGGAAAAAATCCAAAGCATTTTGTCTGGAAAAAGGTTCCTACTTGTGATGGATGATGTGTGGACAGAGCAGTCTGCAAAGTGGGAGCCATTAAAGAACTCTCTCAAGGATGGACTCCCCGGGAGTAGAATCTTGGTGACCTCAAGGAGTGAGAGGGTTGCTAGAATGATGGGAAGTGCGTATCTGCATCACTTGGATCTAATATCTGACGAGGAAGCTTGGTTGTTGCTTAGCAGGAAAGCATTTTCTGGGAGAAGGGAAGAGGATTGTGAGAAATTGAAAGATATTGGTCAGAAAATTGCTCAAAAGTGCAAAGGATTGCCGCTTGCTGCTAAGGTCATGGGAAGCCAGCTATGTTTCAAAGACACTAGAGATGATTGGCAAAATGTTTTAGACAGTAAAATTTGGGAGTTGGAGGAAGTGAAAACAGACCTCTTCCCTCATTTGTATCTAAGCTACAATGATTTGACCCCAAAGATGAAGCAATGTTTGTCATACTGTGCTGTCTTTCCCAAAGATTATGAAATAAAGGTAGATAAGCTCATCAGAATTTGGATGGCACAAGGTTATGTGACGATGGAATCAAAAGGCAGGGAGTTATTTGGGGGTTTAGCTATGCGCTCTTTCTTCCAAGATTTGGAGAAAGATGACATGGATTCCAACATTATCATATCTTGCAAAATGCATGACATAGTGCATGATTTTGCCCAGTTTCTTACCAAAAATGAATGCTACAGTATTGACCAGCACGAGGATGATGTTGGAATTAAAAATCTACGTCATCTGTCATGGCAGAACACTGGTAGGAATGTGAGTCTCGCTTCCATTTGTGATATTGGAAAACTTCGCAGCTATTTTGGTGAACACCTTTCTCTGGAAGAACATATTCCTGATTTGTTCAATGATCTAAAATCTGTGAGAGTATTAAGATTGCATGGCTGGGAGTTGCAAAAACTCCCAAAGGAGATAGGAAATTTGATTCATCTAAGATACATTGATTTAAGTAGGTGTGGTGTAGAGGAGTTACCGGATGCAATTTGTTCTTTATATAACTTGCAAACTTTAGATCTTAGACATAATGATTTTTCTAAGTTGCCCGAAGGGATTGGAAATTTGAGTCAACTAAGGTACATTAATTTAAGTGGTAGCAAAGTAGATGCGTTACCTAATACATTTTGTTCTTTGGGGAACTTGCAAACTTTAGTTCTCAAAAGATGTAAGCAATTTTCTAGACTACCTGATAAGATTGGAGATTTGAGTCAGCTAAGGTACATTAATTTAAGGTATTGTGACCAAGTGGAGGAGTTACCGGATGCAATTTGCTCTTTGTATAACTTGCAAACTTTAGATCTTGAGAGATGTGATGGTCTTTCCAAACTACCGAAAGGGATTGGCAATTTGATAAACTTGAGACACCTTAACATCAGATACACCTATAGTCTGCAGATGATGCCCCAAGGTATCGCAAAGCTAACTCAGCTTTGTAGTTTAAGTGCTTTTAAGGTGGGGAAAGAGTCAAGTAAGTTGGGATACATGGAGAAGCTGAACCAACTCAAAGGAGAGTTGTCCATAATTTTTTGTTGCAATCTGAATAACGCAGCAGATGTGGAGGAAGCAAAGAAAGCAGAATTGAGAAACAAAAAGCACATCAAAGAATTGTGTTTGGTTTTCAGTGAGGTAGTCAATGTGGGAATAGATGTGATGGAAGCTCTGAAACCACCTCTGGAACTACAAACCTTGAATTTTAATGGGTATGGAGGAACCCATTTCCCTTCCTGGATTACACTGTCCCTTGATAATCTACGGAGTCTTGACATCTACGAGTGCATAAATTGTTCATCTTTGCCTCCATTAGGAAAACTCCCTTCTCTCGAGACTCTTTTCATAATCAGCATGAAAGAGCTAAGATATGTAGGGAGTGAGTTTTTGGGAGTAGCAGAAGTAGGTGCTGTTGCTTTTCCAAAGCTGAAGGAATTGCACTTCTACAATTGTGACGAGTTGGAGGAGTGGGAAGACTTCAAAGAAGAAGCAACAATAATAATAATGCCATGCATCAGGGAGTTGCAACTAGTTTATTGTAGCAAACTTAAGACAGTGCCACATCACCTCTTAAGTAGGCCATGCATCAGGGAGTCTTTGTATATCAACAACTGTCCGAGTTTGAAGGTGGATAGATCGAGTGAAATATGTGACAGCCCTACGTACTTGTAATTATATCTCATGCTTACTAAGTTAATAGTCCAATCAACTTCATCATTTGAACAAAAACTATCTCTTTTACACTTTGAATCTCTACTATTTTGTATAACTATTCGATTTGATATGAATGTGTGAAGTAAATATATCTTGAGTTTTTGTTATACGTATTTATGATATAATTTCTGACTATTGACTTGAGCAAGGTATCCTTTGACATGTACATTTTATGACTTGGGCCACTAATGTCGTATGTACTACAAGAATTTTTTTTTTTTTTTTAAATCATCATAAAAGATTTATAGTACTTGGTGAGAGATTTCTTATTGCGGCCTTTCATTATTTCTTTTAGAGGATGAAAGCAATTAAAGGTGAAGTGTGTACTGTGTAGCATATGGAAAATGATAGATGTATTCTCATGGAGTATAACTCTTTTTAACGTGTACAAATTTTATTGGATAAAAAAAATTAAAAGAATAAAAACAATGGCCATTATGTTTTTAGATCTATTAGAATGTGACACCTCAGTACAAAGTATAAAATGGAGTAAAAAGTTAGAGTATGTGTATTGTTCATCTGAGTCTATTTACAAGAGGTTGAGAATTTCTGGTGAGTGTATTCCTCTATATTAAGACTATACTAGACAAGTTGTAGCTCGAAGATTTAGTCATTAGAACAGAATTTGCATCCCTTCAACTTATTTGATTTGTATTATTATGTATAAAATAGTTGAATTGTTGTTCAAATAAATATTATATATTATACTTATAAATTTAAAAAAAAATTGAAAAAGAAAAAACTTATAGTTGGATTGTTGTTCAAATAAATATTATATATTATACTTATAAATTTTTAAAAAATTGAAAAACAAAAAACTTATACTCCACATATTTCATGTCAGTATGACATTTTTATTTATTTATCGCATCTATCTAGTATGGTAGTTTTTAGCTTTTAATTTTTCAATTTTCAGCTAATTTTCAACTATCAATTAGTTTTTCAATTACGTATCCCAAATAGAGTATATTACTATGATACTATCTCAATGCGGTGATTATTATAAACAATTATTATTTTTTATTAATATTATAGAAAAAAAATGAGAAAATGACATGTAGTAGTAAGGGTGGTGTGTTTGTGTTTAGAGCTATTGCTATCCCAAACGCTTTTTAAGCAATTACTTTAATAAATAAAAAAATATTTTAGATTGCTTCCAAAGTAGCTAAGAGCAACTTTGTTTTTTTTTTTTTTTTCAATTTTAAAAAATCATGAAAATCAGTATCGTCTTGGAAGATTTGATTTTATTATTTTTTTTCTTTTACTTGGCCTCTTTCGTCCGCAGCTTTATCTCTTAGTCACATAAACAAAAATCTTAACTTTTTTTTATACCAATGAAAATACTCTAAGTAGAAAAAGAACCAAAAACATTTTGTAAATCAAATAATAATTTTACTCACTATTTATAAAAATATTACAGAGAATATTGCTTATTTATAATATTTAACATTTTTATTATTAGATATTGCGAAATTTTTCACTATTTTACATTAAAAATGAAAATATTTTTGTACTAAAATTTTGTATGCATAACATAGTGCTTAATTAATAACGTAGGAGTATGGTACACAATTAAATGTGTCTTCTATAATTAGTGTCTACTCATGACACCTTGTGATTTAATAAAAGACATTAATAATGTGTACAAAATTGTTGAATAAAATAATAAGTAAGGAGAAGAAGGAATAGAGAATGGAGAGGGAAGGCTAATCTTTTTTTTCATCCACTTTACAAAAGAAGGGATACAACATATAGAGCCGTAAAAAATGGGTTTTACCCGCCGGGTCGACCCGTTCCGTACCGCCGTAGGTAGGGGACGGGTTCTTCAAATTTTGATCCGCCAGGAGGCGGGCTTTTTAGCCCGTCCCGCCTGGGTCACGGGTCCAGGCGGGGCGGGTCACGGGTTTAGTCCGCGACCTGCTAATACATATATATTATATATATATATATATATTTAGTATTTAATATATGTTATTTTGGTTTGTGTTATTGTGTTAGTGTGTTATAACTTATAGGATTATAGATTTATAGGAATACAATACTAGGTAGTGTTACTGTACGTCTATACAGTGATTCTTTTTTTTTTTTTTAAGGATATTGTACAATGATTTTTTTTTTTTAAATTAACACAGTAAAATTGATTGGCAGGCTAGCCCGCCCCGCCAGCGGGCTTTGGCATGGCGGGGCAGGCCGGCCACATTCCAAGCCCGCTAAGAGGCGGGCTTTTTAGCCCGTCCCGCTACGAGGACGGGCTTTGGTGTGTTTTGGCCCGTCCCGCCCCGCGAGACCGTTTCGACGGCTCTAACAACATATATATAATATACTAGTATTAATAACAGTAATAATGCTGGCTGTTACAAACGTTATAACCATTACAATAATGTCCACACTTAATATCATTTATAACACTCCCTCTTGGACATTATTTGGCCACGACCTGGCCTCGTTAAAAACTTGTTAGGAAAACGCGGTGGGAAAAACCTAGACAAGAAAAGAGTACAATAGAAAATATATTCATGCCTCATTAAAAACTTCATTAGGAAAATCACGTGGGAAAAACCTAGTTGAAGAAAAGAGTACATGATATATGTAAAAACATATACTGTATTTGATCGCCTCATTAAAAACCTTAACTTAAGAAAACCTGAGAAAAACTTAGTTAAGGGAAAAAGAGTACAACCAAAAGCCTTCAGGGCGCAAACCGCATAATCTTCAGGATTTTGGGGTTTGTCCATTTAAGCAATTATTTTGCAACTTTTCCTCATTGTCATTACTATATCATACCCATGCCTCGTTAAAAACCACACTAGAAAACCCAATGGGAGAAAACTAGTGAGGAAAAGAGTACATGATATTTATGTATTTATGCGTTGCAAATAGTGCGCAACTGTTAGTCTTTTATGACTTAATCTTCAGGATTTTACGTTCAATCTTCCGGATTGATTAAGTAAATGTACTTCCCGTTGTGTTGCAAATAGTGCGCAACTGTTAGTCTTTTATGACTTAATCTTCAGGATTTTACGTTTAATCTTCCGGATTGATTCGAGTAAACGTACTTCCCGTCTCCCTCTGAAGATAACAATCTTCAAGTTTTACATATATTTCAAAATTTGAAGAGATGGATTGGACAAATCTTCTGAATTGTCACTAGAGTAGTGTACAATAATTTTATGGCTCTTCTAGAGCTCATATAACATTTGTACAACACAGGAGTTATTGTCCTCATTTTGAACATTTAGGGAAATTGATTGTATAACTAATTTGGACTTGGCATTGTGGGGATCAAACAAAACAACCAGTACCCAGGTAGCCTATTAAAACCGTATCATGGTTTCTTACATAAATGTCATGTCTTTGTATCTCGAAGATACTGGAAGATATGTTAATCATTATTCAAGTACTTCATTTGTAGGGAGAGCACTAAATTTTGCTAGCAATTTAATATGTTGCGATTATGGAACTTCTGATTCTATAATGGTGCTCCAACGATAATGAAGTAAGGGACTTCGAGTCCAAAAAGGTTCCTTATCTGCTTTAAGAGATTATTACGCAACCTTTAGTTTGATAAAAAACATGACACTTATAGACATATGAAAAAGCATTTTTAGATGTAGGCTAACTGGTGTATATATAAAAAAATCTTCAAAGAAAAACTCAATCTTCAAGTCGAGATAATACTTATAGCTTTCACGAGCTTTTTATTTGTCTTTAAACATGAACTGACATTATCAAGCTCTTTATATATTTCATTGATGTTTACACCATCAATCTTGACTAAAGACTGAGACTTTTGAAATAAAAAGCTCTTTATATATTTCATTGATGTTTACACCATCAATCTTGACTGAGATAATAAATAATAAATAAGTTCATTATCAACCATTTATCGAGCACACAATGGTACATATTATTCCTTCAACGAGGATATTAACTTCATTCGCAACCCTTTAAAGAGTAAATAATGACACATAATAATACTTAAATAAATCCTTATTTCGAGAATTATGGATCCATCCAGGATTTCTCAAAATAAATTTAATTGCATATCTAAATTTATTATTCTGCCAATTGTATTATGTAGCGGAACTTAATGTCATTTACCGTGGGAGAGTATATTTAATTAAAATCAATTAAGGGTCTCGGCGTGAACCCATAGGCTACAAACTCACTTCATATCTTATCACGTTGTTATTCTTACTTCTCTTTCATGCACACCCATTTGTAGCCTTCAGGGTTAACGCTTAATGGTGTATTGTTATAAAGAGAATTTATTCATTTTAGCGAGTCGAGCTATGCCTGAATTGCTCCTTTATATATTAAATAGTCATGGCACTTCTGGTGCCTAACTCTGGATCCAGATTATCATATAACGAGCAATTTGTAATGGCAATTGTGTTGTCGACAACTATAACATTTTTATAAAACTCTCATATTTGTAAAAGTAATGGCAATTTCTAAAACAATCAGATTCTAGACATTTCCCAAAAATATTTTGATCTGGTCGTTCCGCATCCCTAGTATTACATTTGTTTGGTGCACCTATAAATTTTACTAGGGTTTTTCATCATCTGAACGAACGTCTGCAGGACATAATTTTTCAAGCTATTTCAAGAGTGACAATATTTCTTTACTAGATCTAGTATTATGATCCATATCTCTTTCACCGATAGATCTCCTACACTTCTACTGTCAAGGAGTATCGATAGATATGTTTGGTCCAAGGATATAGGACCTAGTCACTTCTTTTATGATCATTATGATCAATAAATGTATTTGGCAGATTATTTGCTAAAATTGCAAATAGATTATCTTTTGAACTTCCAGTTCAGTCTAACTAGTACATGGATTTAAATAATGAAGATATTTTTATTCTTATGAAATTTCTTAGCATTCCATTAAAAACTACGGAGTAGTATATTATCTCCCCATAATGCCGAGAAACAATCTTCATTAGGAATATAATGTCGTCAACGTACCCGATTATATGTATTGATCCCCTATCATGGGCTTTCGGTATTTAATCAATAGA